CTCTTAGATGGATTGCCTTACAGGGCTGACGAGCTCCATCTGCCCAGGGGACTTTTTTTTACCCTGACCGGGAATCGAATCCGGGCCGCAGCAGTGAGAGTGCTGCATCCTAACCACTAGACCACCAGGGGTCTTATTAATTAAATATCTTATTAAAAATCTTATTAATTGCATTGTAATAAAAGAAATGGAGATCAGTAGCAGGCCAGTGCCTACCAAAGCTGACAAGTTTTACTAGCACTACTTCTCACATTTAGCTCTATGCACCTTAGTGAATTACAAATTACAGTTCAAGTGCGGGTCTCTCTCTGTTAATATTTCGTTCACATTTTTTAAAACATTCTTTAACATTGAAGTTATCAGAGTAACAGCTGCTGACTGTACCTTCTCAGTTTTGTGATTTGCTATAAGATCTATTGCTCTTTCTGTAAATAAATTTGTGGAGTACACATTTTTAAATCCAGTTGCAACTTCTTCTCCATCTCGAAAGTCCAGAGCACAGCGCGTTACATTCTTTGTTTTGATGAGAACGCAACGGTCATGAGTGTAATAATCCTCACTGCCCAAAAGATAGCCTAGAACAGGAAAAGATGTGAAATGAGTAGGCCAACATCGTGTCACATAAACAGATACATCAGGGAGAGAAAAAAGCCAAACATAAATGTCAAAACATTAGTGGTTTTGAGTTGAAGCATGAATTCAACACTGAACCACCTACAGAGACACCTCTGATAGGTCTAAGTAGCCCAACATTTAATACCTCATCGACTGTTCATCGCTAATGCAAGTAGTAATTTCAAAAGAAATTAAACATTCTGAAAGCAGTTCCATGATTTCATAATTATAATTTGATATCAAAAACATTAGCAATAAACTAATGCACTGATAGCAAAGGCAGTGATCTAGTCTGTGCACTAGTCTGATTTTTGCTGGTACAATTTTGTATGTTTGTATTTTCATGTAAGACTTCCATCTCTAATAGAAAGTTTGGAATTTTTTTAATTTATTTATTCAAAAACACTCAAGTACAAAGCATCTTTTATGTCAGCTGTAATTTCCGATCTATTGCTGACACCAGGTGGTGAAGAAAGGACACTATCATTTAGAGATACCCAAAAGAAACCAAGTAAAAATTCTATAGGTATAGATTTGCTCCTACCTAGGGCTATCCTGTGGAGCAGGATAACATAACCCTTTGTGTTTCAGTTATCAGAAACAAAACTTTTTAAAATTCTTAGAATCTCAGAAATTAGTACTGCTCACTTGAATTTTTATTCAGCAGCTTCAGATAGTTATTTGCACAAAACACATGTACAGAAAGAATGAAGTTGCCTTAAATACAATATAAATGTCTAATATACTTTTAGGAGAAAAATATGTTTTCTTTCAAAGCATGAAGACTGACTTTGTGTGCAGACTGCTTACATCAATGTATGCAGAGGAACAAGTTGCATTTTTTCCATTTTGGAGGCCCAGTGGAGGACACATTCCATCAAGCATGCCATGGAATCAAATGCTGCTAATAAATGCCTACCAGAATTTCATTAACATTGTAGGATATTGAACTGTTACATTTCTTGAAAAATAATGTCACATTGGGCACCCAACGACCAACCCAGTGCCAGCCTGTGTTCAGGCTCCTGCATTAAGTGCTTGCTCAGTCCCAGGGTGAGATTTCATAAGGAACGGCAGCCCACCTACATCTGTGCCACCAAAACGATCCCAAGCTTCTGTGAAGGGATGGGAGGAAGCATATATGTTTAAGCAATGAGCCCTTGTATTCTGGTCCATATATATTAGCTTAATTCAGTTGTGAAACCATGGCCCCAAGCTCCTTGAAGAGTCAAAACTGATGAACCATCTAAGGGAATAGTTTTTCCTACCTAACATTTGGATCAACATTGTCTATAGCACAGTTTTGCTCTTCATTTAAGCCTAAGGTTAGAAAAGAGAGACACGGGCTTCTACATCGAAGTGAATGATTTTGAAATTCATGATTCAATTAAAGTGTCTTAAAAACAACCAAGTGGACATGGACTACTTTGCACTCAGTACTGTGCAAAACAAAACGCAGAGCAGACAGCTCAAGTCACTTAACATCTGTGACACTTGTGCAAAACTAATAAACCTCCAATCGACATTGGGAGAGGAGTCCAACATTTTAAGAGGAAGAATAAGCAATGGGTAGCTACAAGTTGCTCTGTAAGTACTGCACTCACACATGGACAATCTATTTTTCTATTAGTCTGAGAGTTTGAGTTCGTAAGTAGCAAGCTTTTGGATGCTGCTTTACAGACGTTTTCACACCATCCTGTCACCAGATATGCAAAACCAGTGCTACACAAACTGACGGTAATCCCCATTCCCTGCTCTCCTGTGCTGCTGTGGGGAAGAGGTAGAGAATTTGGAATAAAATAGGAAAGCGGGAGGGTGGGGAAAGATCGTAAGAGCGGAATACCTTATTCAGAGCCATACAATAAGTACAGTATTTTCTTCAGTAAGTTGTTAAGCTTAGGCATATTTATAAAGGTATTATTTTAAGCAGTTCAGAAACATGAACACCCAGGTATTGATGTACTTAAAAACTAACAGTAAATCTGCTGTTCTTAAAAGAATGGGGCAGTTTTTCACCCTTTTTAACACTGTATTTATTGCACATATTAAATCAAACCATTACCAAAATAAGTATCAAATCCTCTGCGGGTTGGAAGGCACTCTTTTCTGTACATCCCTAAATGCCACTTCCCCACCATATGAGTAACATATCCCGCCTCTTGAAGTAGCTCTGGGAGGAGTTTCTCATCCAGTGGCAGACAGCTGGGCTGGCATGGCCAAATTATCTGGTGTTGTAAACCTGTGTGGATCTAGCAGATAAAAGAAGCACGAGAGATCACTTACAATGCAGCCATGTGTTCCCATGGGTCAATTTATAACCAAGCCCAAAAGGACATACAGCTACATCAGAGGTTAGCCTTAGTTTTAGGGGATCCTCTTTTTACTGATGTAGCACTGAAAAAGATGAGGAAGCTGCAGGTGGAGGGCAAGGTGGCATGGAGGAAGACAAGAAAATAGTACTGTGAGGGTTAACATCATCTTCCCAGGTATAAATCAAGTGCAATTAAAAAAATAAAACAAACACCAAAACCAAAAAAACAAACCAACACAAAACCAAACAAACCCAAAGCTTCTAATGTTTTTAGCTAAATATCCAACAGGTAACAATTACAATTATGGTGTGTTTGAAGTCTAAGGACATCTCAATATGGAGTTAGAGATTTTAAATGAGATGGAAATGGTCAAAAAGGCACAAGACAGTTGAAGCTGTCAAGCTTTTGGCAGTATCAGAGAACAGGAAATTGTGTATCAGGAAAGGATGATAAGAGGTAAGAGAACTATTTTTCCATTACTCTTCTAAAAGGATATTATATATACACATTTTTATACTTATTTGCATACTTCAAATGAGTGTGAGCACCATAAAAAGTATTTGAATATAAGGATGACACAAAGTTTAGATACTGCCTAAATCTGACCTTTAGTAATTCCACTTAAGCTTCCAATCTTAATAAATGGTGAATTTTGTACCTCTTTACAAAACCATAGCTGACAACAATACTTCAATTAGTATACTGTGCTTGATGTAAGAAAACTCTTCAGTAACTGTGTACTATAAGCTGACTTTTGTCAAATCCCCTGTCTCCTCCACAACAAAAAAAAGGCACTACCCTAAACCTAGGCCAGCAAACATATGTATACAAGAATAAATATCTTATTTACTAAATATTTCTATTAATCTGTGTGTGTCAAAGCACAAAACTCCGAGACCTCCAAGAGCACAAGACATCAGATTTTATAACTCCTCTAAGCACACTAGTGTGGCAAGCTCCATGATTAACTTCTAGAGCATCACGTTAGCAACACTCAGAAGTGACTTTTAAAATAAGCCCTGATTTTAGGCAAGTGGGCCCTTACAAAAGGCCTACTAGTTACTCATTTTCCTTGAAACAGGAAGTTTCAAAAATTATATTATAAATTTTATATTATATATAAAATTATATTCAAACATATTTTGAAATGTTGTAGTACAGAAAATATTAGAGAAACACACACAGTAACAAAGCACTTTAATTTCTCCCACTGTCTCTGGAAAACAAGAACAAAAAGAAGAAAGCAATAATTAAAAAAATCTACAGCTTTCTTAGACCAACACCATTGCTCTTTTTTCTTGCAGATTGCAGGGTGACTATCAAAATTCCAGCTCCCGATAGGAGCAGATTTAAATTAGTTTCTCAAATCTCTAGGTAATTGCTAATCATATCAATGGGTAAAACAAAGAAAAAAAAAATCCCACCTATTTGCTGCATAATTATTTCCTGCACCGAGTGTTTTTCTTTTTAAAATGGAATACATCCATTTTCTAATATTTATTATAAATATATTTCTAATATTTATGATCTTATTTGTAACAAGATCAACACAAAGATCATTAAATTATCAAGACGGATGCATAGCATGAATTTAAATCCAGACTGAACTATAGCCATTCCCAGGCCCACTTTTAAAATGAGATGTAGCAATGGCCCATTTCTAGGTAAGCATGTTCAGACTATGAACTGTATTTTAAAAATAGTCACAATGAAGAAGTGTTTTAGGTTATTTAACAGAACAACTTAAAGAGCTGATAAAGATAATGTAAATTACTTCTTCCTATTCATTGTTATTGATTCTTGGAGTTTCTAGGAATAGGACAAATGTTGCAAGGAAAGCATATCACCTAGATCAACCTTTCTGCAACAAGAGATAAGAATCCAATCATACAGGATGATGTTTATTTTCATTAATTTAGAGGAGTTTCTTTGGAAAATCACTACTGTTAACATGGACTTGCAGAACTTTTTGAGGCGGTAAGTTTCTGAAGCACACTTAACCCTTTAAGAGTTTCTTCCTTCTGTCTATGCTGTATGGCCATGTTTCTTGCCTTCTACTCCCGTTTTTGCCAAAATTGCAACAAGGGCAGGAAGGGGGAGAGTTATATCAGTGTTAAAAAGCCCAATCCTTATACCTGTGCAACTGAAAAAAAAAGTGGGAAAACTCATGACTGTGACTATGAAGTAGCTGAACAGCCAGCCTAAGGATCATTCTGTGTGCACTCCATGAAGGAGTGCAGAAACATCTACATCTATGGTACTGTATGGAGGAGAATGTATACAGCTTGGGATGCATTTAAACCTGCATTGGAAAAGATGCTGGAAAAACTGAACAAGTGGTGTTGATCCACTTCTGTCTACACCTCGACCGGGTGCCTGTCCAGTGGAGAAGTACCTTATGAGTCAGATGACTAGGGAAGGGATATCTTCCACTACTGGCTGCCATGCCTATTAATCCAACCTAAGCACAGAGAGCACCTCGTCTTTTCTGAAGCAGAACAACAGAGAGCACCTCGGCTTTTCTGGGGCAGAACAACTTGCACTAAATCCATGTTGGTTTACTCCTGAGCTCGCAAGCCAAAGGTAAGTTAAGACTGCATATAAAAGCAGCTGGTTTCCACAGAGTAGTGGAAAACAGCTTCTTCCAGCGTACCGGCACACGGGACACATGAAGCACAAACTACACGGAGCATTGCCAGAAGCAAGCAGGGGAGCAGCACCCACCATCCACCTGCCGACAGCGTGCGAAGCGCGGGAAGTGTGGTCAGCGGAGGGAGCCCCAGGGGCAACGGAGGGAGCCCCGGTGTTTCTCCCGCGGGAGAAACAGCTCAGCCCCGAGTGCTCGCCCTACCTGGTAGCGGCCGGAGAGCAGCTGGCTGCGGGACGGGGTGCAGAGCGGCTGGGTGTAGTAGCGCTCCAGCCGCACGCCGTCCGCGCCCAGCGCGTCCAGCCGCGGCGTGCGGATGGCAGAGCCGTGCCAGCCCACGTCGCCCCAGCCCAGGTCGTCGGCCAGCACCAGCACCAGGTGCGGGGCGGGCGGCCGGGCCGCCGCCGGGCGCGGCAGGCAGAGGAGCAGGAGGCAGAGGGGCAGGCAGAGGAGCCGGCTAAGAACCATTCCCGTTACCGCCTGCCTCGCCATCCCCGGCAGCAGGAACTGGGCCGCAGGGCCCGCCCTGGCGCCGGGGCTCCGCCCGCCGAGCGAACAGGGCGGGGACGGGGCGGTGCCGGGGCGGGGCAGGGCCCGGACGCTCCCTGTCCGAGCCGGGGGGCGGGGCAGCACGTGCTGCGGGGAAAACGGTGTGGGTTTGGGCCGGTGAGTTCTGGAGTGAGTTAAGAAAGGAAATTGTAACGCTGTTGCTGGTGTTGGCAGAGTATCCGACTCGCTGATGCTGGCGGACCGTTCTAATTGTGACTTGCTTCAACTCTTACATTAAACACCTGTTTTAAACCACGGAGCCTTCCCCCAGGGGAACCACGTAACTGTGTTCAAGCTTGTATTTCAAGTAATCTATGATTTCAAGGAAGTCAGTACAACATTATGAGAAGAGGACACAGTGCTTTCAGGTACTTTGTCTTAATACTGGGCTCTTATTTCTGCCTTCATGACAGTTCATCCAGATCTAATATATACTGCCCTCAGAGTTTATCTGTGCGTAAGCAAAGTGAGACAGCTGCAACACAGACATGGCCTTGCTGCTTGCCAATGTGTGCTACAGCCTGGGAAAAGTGAGTTGCCACCGTCACTGAAGATGCAGCTGAGCTGAGCAAGATGGAAATAATTCCTATTGGAGAAACTCAGTATCAGCTGCTCTCTTTCACACACACGCACACACACACTCACTCACAAACAAGAGACCCATGTGTGTCATCCCTCCCTCCTCCCCCTCGACCCCTCTGCAAAACCATAAAAATCACAGTGCTTTTTTCTTTTCATTTTGCCCATACAGATGAGAAGCCTTGATCTAGGTCTGGCTGTAAGATGGTTCTAGTGACAGTTACAGTGTAGGAAGGAAGTGAAGCAACTCAGAAGCAGAAATAGCAGCTATGTCGACAGGGCTGTCTATTTCTGCAAACCATGTAATTGCCTAAAGCAATAATGCAAACAACCACTACCTTCATTATAATTCTGATGTAAAATCTAAGACTGTGAAAGGACAGAAATAGCTATCAACTTTGATAAATTTTGTTCATCCAAAGAATACACATAAATTTCAGTGTCTAGCTGAAGATCAAATAACCATATGTTTCACATTTAGCTAGAATGTTACATAGGTGTATTGCCAAATTTATACAGCCATTTGGTAACAGATCAAAGAACAGTCCACATTAAAAACTGGTTTTCTTGGTAAGAAAGCCAAATATTGAGTATGCTAGACTCCTGACTAATTTTTTTTTTTTTATTGACTACTTTCTTTTTGATTTCTCTATAGAAAGTTAGTTCATGCTTCTATGAATGAAGTCTAGTGGATAGGCCTATGAAGCTATCAGGCTGGGGTTTTTTAAATGCCACTGATTTGCCTGCTGGTTTGAAAAAAACGGCAATTATGAGTGATGCTAGATTTTTTTTCTACAATGAGAATATGCTATAGTCCACAGCCAGTACTGGAACAGGAAACAACAGTACTGTCCTAAAGTCAGTTTTTCCTGAAGTAAATTCCAGGATTGTTGACAAGCTGGTATGTAACTATTAGTTGAATTTACTTTATTGAGATGTGTTTCATGCTGTTCAAAAGCAGCAAAGTTCTGATTTATCTTTTTCCTCACTCAGATCTCATGACCAGTCTCAGATGTCTCACTGTTTATTTTTCTAACTTCTTCCATGTCCTTATTACACGTAAAGTTCCATTCAAAGCACATTCTCATGGAAAACATTTTAGTTCATTCCAAAAAATTACTTTGAAAATCTGCATAGTGCTGGTGAAATCAGAAATGGTGGATACAAATTTTGCAATAAAATTAATAATAGCTATTCACCTGTCATGTTTCCAAAGTTACCATGGTATTCAAGAGCAGCTGAACGCATATTCCCTTGTGTCAAGAGTTATGTGCTGATTATCCTACTCTACCAGAACCAGATAACCTGGTTGCCTGAGCTGACAGTTAAAACATTAAATTGAACTATCTGAAACATATACTGCAGATACTGCACATTCACAGTCTGGATGTTGCTGCCTGTCATATTTTCTAAGTATTTGTGTTTTATTTTATATTTTATTACTTGTTGAGGGAATTGGAATACCAATCAGAAAATACTACTTACACCAGATAGTATTCTCTTGAATCAAATTAATAAATCCTGTAAATGGTCTATGTTCAGTCTCTTGTGTTTCAGTCTACCTTTTCTAAATTTGGAGTTGAATAATTTGGATGCTGTTTTGGGTCAGCGATTAATGAAGCCATTAGAGTGACACGTAAGATTACGGTATCCATGTGGATTTATCATTCCATACAAAGCACGGACATGACAGTTTTTCCATGGAAAGTTGGAGCAAAAATTCAAATGGTAATAGTAACATCTACTCTGACATGCAAATACTCTCTGGACATGGAATAATAAAGGAAAATGACAAAAAATATGTCTGAGAAAACAGCCTTTTGACATATCCTGGATCTGAGTATTTCAGAAAATTTCGTAGATGACCAACTGTCATTTTTTCACCTCATTGCAGTTGTCTCCTCTGTTAGCTAATGGGGTTGCGGAAGACTCCAGAGAAGTCCCTGTCAATCTTTCTACCTTGGTATTTCTGTTTAGTTGGTTAAAAGCCCTCTTAAAACATAGATGTACTACTTAAAACACTCTTGCTCCTATTCACTTACTCTTGCCGTACTTTGGCACCACAAGTTTAAGCAACACCATATCTCAACTTGTAATGAAAAGAAGTGACAGGAAACTACAAAAGCTGCTGAACACTTCCCCCATCTCATTTCTTCCGGTTTATCTTTTTTGTTTTTAAATAACCTTGAAAGATTGAGCTGTATATATGAATCTCTCTGTGGCCCTGATTTGTAAAACTTTGTCTTAATACTGTTTCATTTATCTGCATTGTGCAAGAAGCTGCAATGTTGAGCTACCCTGATGAATACTCAGTAGGCTGACTTGGGTGTCAGAGGAGTAAAAAAGAAGCTAGGTCAACTAGGAAGCCCTTTTAGACATACCGCTATCACAGCTATAGTGCTTCTAATACTCAGCCATCATTGCTTAAAACTACTTCTGGCATCTCTGCTCCTGAATGCATTGTTAAACAGAAAGCACAGCCATTCTTAAGAAGTAACAGAATGCCACAAGTTCTCAGATACTCCATTTCTCTTACACACAGTCAGTGATGAACACGAAATTGTTTAAGTCTTCTAACTTGGCTGCAGGAAAGAAACTTTACATTGCCTTGTCCCAGAAATATCATGACACGTTGTCTGCTTATCTAAATCCTGAAAATTAGAATAATAGAATATGCTGAGTTGGAAGGGACCCACAGGGATTGCGTCCAACGCCCGCCCCTGCAGAGGACAACCCCAAGACTCACATCATGTGCCTGAGAGCATTGTTCAAAAGCTTCTTGAACTCTTAACAAGTTTAGGCCTGTGACCATTTCCTGGGGGAGGCTGTTCCAGTGCCCAACCACCCTCTGGATGAAGAACCTTTTTCTATATTTAACCTTAGCCACCCCTGACACAGCTTCATGCCTTTCCCTCAGGTCCTGTCACTGGTCCCCACAGAGAACTGTGGTGTCTGCCTCTCCTCTTCCCCTCACAAGGAAGTTGTATCCTGCAATGAAGTCTCCCCTCAGTCTCCTCTCCTCCAGGCTGAACAGACCAAGTGATCTCAGCCACTCCTCATATGGCTTCCACTAATTGGCCAAGGCTTGATCTTGGTGAGACTTGGGTGACAACAGCTGTCAGTGAGAAACACACAAAGAAATCAGTGTCTGGACCTGTATAATACTACAGTGTACAATGAGACAGGTCTGCATCAGCTACATGGAGAAGTTAGGGGTTGGGAGGTTACAGCTAGAAATGCTCATGGAGGGTACAGTTTCTGAGTTCACCTGACTATAGGAATTCTATCTGCTATTTTGCTCAGGCTGCAGAGAGCCTGTCCTTTCTGCACAGTCAGAGTGATCCAGTTGATGTGTTCATGAATAGCACTTCTTCCAAGTCAGAAAAGAAGTTACAAACCTGATTCTAACTTTTCAGACTAGGATATGTGGGCATCATTGGAAAAATTTTGGCTTAGCAAAGTTCATTAGGAAAGTATATGTGAAAGTCTGTCTCAGAGGGACTGTTACTGTACACTCCAGATTGTGGTGCCTAGTGAATTTGCATAATCTTGGGAAATACTGAAATTCAAAACTATGTTCCTAAGAATTGCTCTTCTCCTCCATACTCTAAATAAAACCAGAGAGCATTGCGTTGTATTTTAAATTCCTTAAATGCTCACAGAGTGACAGTGGCTAAGTGTCTCATCACAAATAATGTTGCCTTTAGAAAAAGTAACATCGCTAATTGGTTCAGCAAGATAGAACTCAGTCACTTATGAAAGTATAACATAGAATAATTTCTGAATGGTAGCTGAAGATAGTACTATATACAAACCTGGCAAAGATTTTATTTTGACCTGCTTTTTAAAAGATATTCAGAATAGCACAATGTAATGTCAGCTAAATTATCAAGAGTAACGGTTCATTACAAAAATCATGTTTCTCCTGGTATATGCTATTTATACATTTGCTTCTTTGCTGAAGGTTCACAGGCACCAACTCCTTTGAAGAAGGTACATTTTGGATGTTATTTGTACGTACTTTGAAAATATTTATCTATAGCCTAAAAGAGAGCATTACTTTCTTTCTGTAAGTTAGAAATTTTAACACTGTTATTCAAAAGAATTGTTGAGCACATTATTGAACTCAGAAGAATGTTTTATTAAGTTAGTGTGTTCTCACCATACACCAATCCTGCTTACTCAGGTTATTGAATATTTAACACTCAATAAAGCTCCTTTGCTGTCAGTGTAATTATATTTTTTCATTTTTAATATTTCTGTGTAATAATATAAGGCTCTTACTGCTGTTCAATCTATAATTAACAGTAAAAGGAAGAACTGACAATCTTTGGTGTCTGTCTAGCACTTCAGATTTCATACAG